CACAAGAATGGCATTATCAGGATGCACTAAAATTATTACATCCAACATTAAAAGATGAACAATTAGTAACATGTGCATATGGAACTCGGATTGATTATATATATCTACGTCCACGTCGAGATGATCAATGGAAACTAAGCAAATGTTCAATTATAAATACTCAACCTGCTACTGATCATAATGCTATTTTTGCAGAATTTGAAAAATATTAGGACGGGTGTGAGAAAGAGAATAAGAACGAATCGATTGACGTGTTCTTGCACCACAGTATGTCATAATAAGAAAGGAAGAGAAAGAAAACACAATCAATCCACGAGACAAAATATTTTTTTTTGTATTTTTCTGCTGTGCATAACGATGGAAGGTTTGTTTTTGTCAACGAAGAATATTTATTTTCCATCTAAGTATTGCACGCGATAAAAAAAATGGAACAATATTTTTCAGAACTAGTTTCATTAATCAAATCCAATGATACAATTCCCAGCATCGACACTATACACTCTTCATTCGATGATCAAGAAGATGTCAATTTTTTTCTATCACGAGAAAGACACTGCAACCCAAATTCTACTTCTGAACAACAATTAATTATCCGAATTTGAGGGTGGGTGCGAGTGGTAGTATTCTTACTACGCACGCTCTCACCAACACCCACACCCTACTGCTCGTGAGTTGGAGGAAGCTGTGTGTGGTAAACGTACAACTAATATCGAACTATTAAAACGCAACACTACCTATGGTAGTAGTTTTCATTCAACTTCAAGATGTATGCAACACTTTTGGACAGTACTCAGTACTAAATTTACTGAAGAACAAAAAAAGTTATTCGTGAAACTTGTTTGGGGTCGATCAACATTACCCAGTCGACATGAAGATTTTATATCAAAATTTGTCATCAATCCATTTACAATTACTAACGGTCCTGTTGATAGAGCACTTCCACGTAAGACAAAACTTTCAGAATATAAACTCAGTTGTCTATATTACTTTTTTTTGTATTTTAGGAGCACATACATGCAGTTTTACTTTGAATTTACCTGACTAATTGAATGACATGCCTGTAATCTTAGATTTTGATTAAATTTATTTATATTATTATTGCTGCTAACACTTTTCGTCGTCGTCGTCGACGACGTTTAATTATTTTTATAACAGCTATTTTAAGTGAGTCATTAAATTGAAATAAAGCAACAAAAATAAATACTAATGATACATCGAGAAATATAAGAGCAATTCGAAAATGATATTTTTCAGGAGTTGTAAAAAATGAAATGATAATGAAAACTGTATATGGAAAACCAAGTGCAATTAAAATGATTACTAATATGAGTATACGTCGAACCATTTTTAATTCTCTTTGTGCTCGAACTAAAGTATTTGCTAATGTTACACGTTTACTCATTTTTTTCACATATAGAACTAATTTAAAATAAATTAATATAACCAATAGAACAGGAATCACATAGATACAAAGTACCATATAGATCAATGAGAAAGACAGTCCAAGAGGTAGTTGACATATTTGATTGTTAATATTATAGAGAATTTCATTACGAAGCATAAACTCAAGTGGATATGCTAGACCAATAATCCATGTTATGAAAATAAGTATGATTTGATATGTAGCTGTTTGATAAAATAACCATTGTGGATAAACTACAGTAACATATCTATAGAGTGCTTGTAATAAGAATGAATAATTCAATGTGGCACATATACCATCAGCAATATAAGCTCGAAATATACATAATGAATCTTCATAAATAATTTGTTTCATATCATTTTGTAATACAAATACAACTGCACCATTTCTAATACTTGCAAATATAGTTTCAAGTAAACATGAATTAGCAATTAATAACATAGAAACTGTATGACATGTTTTATCAATAATAATCATAAATAAAAAAATGAGAGGAAATATAATAGCAAGGGTAATACAAATAAGGCCAATAATATCAAGAGGAATAAACCATAGTTCAATATTTATTGTTGAAGTGTTTCGAGTTGTCATTTTAACTTGAAAGTACTTTGAAATATTTTCACTGAAAATAACGATCATAATATTCAAGAAGATAATAAATCTCTTGATTATGAACTAATGAGCTCTTTTAATACGATAATCCTATGACAATTAATATTTGATTGCGTGTTAATATCAACTTTAATTATTGTTTTACTAAGAAATCTTTCTCTCATTCATGAACTCTGAATCAATGGTACAATCAGTAAAAGAAAAGGTAATAAATAATTATCAATTTTATTCTCTCTATTCTTTCGCTTATGTTAAGTGAATCAATTCATTAATTTTTCTCTATGTGGCATATTGAGTTATAAAAGGATTCGACTGTTTTGTCGAGCTAATTACTTATTTATACTAATGATGAAGCAAAGTGAAGCACTTTTTGATACTCCACAGATGAATATATGCGATAGGATGGCTATAATAGAACAGGTCTTGCTAATCAGCTTTTAATTGTTCCAAATGATCTAAGCAACATTTTTCAGTCGAATTTCATTCTTCACTACGATTAAGAACGAGCTAATGAAGTTTATGATCATATAAATGTGACATAAAAAATGATACTATCCATATTTGATATTCTTCAAAAAATATCTAATTAATTCATTAAATATAATCTTTTTCAGTTTATAAATAATATTTTTAAAGATGAAAACTACATTGACATACAATTTTTTTTAAATAATAAGCTGAGAAATTATGGTATGGGAACTTTTTGCAAAAACAACACTTTCAAAACTTGTGAGATTTCGTCTTCATTTTTCGAAAGTTCAAAAATAATGTCACTATTACTTCATCAAATTTATCTTTCATTATCGGATAGTCTATGCAAAAGACAAAAAGATATTGTTCTGTTTGATCGACATTTTTCGATTAATTGTCAAATAGAAGCGAATACTATACCAATAAATTACACAAGTTCTGAAATAATCAATAAACATTAATTATTGATGAATGAATCGTCTCCATCATCTGAATGTTTCTTGAAATGTTTTTCTGTACAATGCTGAAGGAAGGACAAAAATAATAAAGATAAGCATCGATGGAGTAAATGAAATGAAATAACCAAAAATAAATAATAATCGATGATTAGATGGATTGACACATTCTGATAGCATTGACATCATCAGACGGGGTAAGGACAGAATTAGAAGAATAACTGGACTAATTAACAGTTGTTTGTGTTCACTAAATTGAGTATAAATATGTTCTTTTAGAGTTTGTCGTGTCTGAGCTGTTGATCGTTGTCGGGCTGATCCGAATATAATAAATAAAGCAGAACAAAGATTGACAATACATGGAGCGACAAGATGAAAAAATAAAATGATTGTATTGTATTGTTGAACAGAAGGCGAATAACGAGTTATACACCATCTATTGATATCCACTTTGCTGGTCTCTGTCTTCATTTCATATAATTCTCGATATATAGGTTCGTGAATGATTGAACTCATGATACAGAATGGTAAGATAAGAATTATCCATCGAGCTATGCGTTGACTTTTCTGTTTATTGAATTTAATGCCTTTATAAACTAGAATTGCTCTTTCAATGGCTACACAAGCATTGAGCCAAGCATCCAAATATAGACACAGCTTGAGAAGAGGTTCAATCGATACACAACCTCCTCGAACAGCAGAGACACGAATCGATATATTCATTTGAGTGAGAACAACAAACCAAAACTTCACTGTAAACATGCTGATTGTAAGAAAAGAAGTAATTGATGATGCTAAGAGATAGATGCCACATCCAACTTTTCGTAAATCTTTGTTTTGAAATGTTATTAGAGACAAAATGCTATTGATTAAACCTCCAGTAAACATAATCGTCGTTAAAGCGGCATTGATTTTTATCAATACTGTTTGATCAGTCAATGTTATATTCGGTCGAATTTCGTCACGTAAAATATCATCGAGAATGATACCAATACTTTTTCTGTAGAACTGACATCTTTGGTCAATGAAACAACTGATCAGAACTTGAGCTAAAGAAAGAGATACATGGTAATCAAGAGAGGTTAACAATCTTTCTCGACTTAACAAAGCTATATCAGCGTACGTTTATAAGCAACAATAGTTTATGAAACTCATTTATCTATACATGATATGTACTGTCGGGATTAGATTTATACATTTCTATTGTCTGTTCAGCGTCTCATGAGGAATTTACTCAGTTTTATTAAGATGTTTCTGCATATCAGTTCAATAAATTTTCAAAGATTACATGTAATAAAATCTCAAATAGTGTGAAATCACTAAAGAACAGATGTTCTCGAGTATATCATTGATCCGAGAAGAAAAGTTGTATTAATTTACCCAACTGATGGAGCTCATACAATCCATCTAATCACGACTAAGCTGCAATACTGAGACTTAATCTTATCTGATTGAAAAAAAACTGTCCGATCTCAAAAGGAGAAGTTTTGATTTGATTCTATTTTTTGACAATAATTCTATTGAATTATACGATCTATTGGAAGTTCTCAGATTTATTATTATTCCACAATAAAAATGGATTTCAGTGGGATGTTTTACTTCTTTGTCAATGATTTACAAAATAATACAAAATACCTACTGTAAGGAATAAGAGTGATGTTATTTGGATCAGATGTTAGAATGGAAAAGTTTCCTGTCATATTTGGAGAAGATGTTGTCACCACTAATATGTATTTAGTATCAGTGTGAAGATAAATGATGAACTCGAAATCTCGAAGACTGCATCTTCGATAATCCTCTGAGATTAGATTCTCTATAGGATTCATTGGGTTAAACTCATCTTTGTAAATATAACCAAATGCATTTATACTGCCAACACCACTCAGAGCATAGTATCCAGTTTTCACTACATTTACTCGTATAGTTTGATAGTAATAAGTTGATCTTCGACAATCTCGAGAATATGTTCGACTATTCGTAGTCAGCTCTGATGAATAGCTCACTTGTAAAGCTGACAAATAGATCAATTGTGCAGCTGGTGAAAAGGGTGTTTGTATGACCGATGGCAAATCTACGTGATAAAAACAAAAATAATAGTCAAGGTTTATGATAGATCTTGATTGACTGAGAGAAAGACGAATCATTTGGATGTGAGAAAGAAAAGTCAGCATTATAAGTCATCTCTTATATACCCTGAATATCGAAAGGCACGTTGAAGCTGGGCTTAGCTTTATGAAGAGACAACTCTCTATAATATTACTCTCAATGAAATAATTAAGCTGTAAATGAAGAGTGAGAATAAAATCTATAAACACTTTTCTATATCCCAACCCTCAATAATGTATGCTACGAATGAATTTGGAATAACTTCATTATTTCGAAAATTGATAATGTTCTAACGTTTTAGATAAGAGAAATTGTTTATTTATAGTCTAATTCTTCTACTAATGTAATTTATTCAAAAAATTAAATATATAAAGATATCTTTTTGATTCATAAAAAGTAAAAATATGTTTATATTTTTTATCTACGATACATTATATTTAAATGTTTACAGCATTTTTTATTATAGGAATATTGAGTGATAGGACATGTAATAAAAGGCAAAGTTTTTTTCATTTCACAGGCACAAGCAAGGGGGAAAGAGCAGAATCCAGTCGTTTGGATCCCAGTAGATTCCCAAGGATTCTCAAAGATTCTCAAAGATTCTCAATGATTCCCAATGATTCCTAAAGATTCTCAAGGATTCTCAAGAATTCCCAAGGATACCATAAACGATTCTGGATTCCAGAATTCCGCTCTTTCCCCCTTGTACAAATGTCATCTTACAAAACAAGTTTTTATTTGTGAATATACCAAACTCAACCAAATTTTCATGCTAACGCTGACAGGTATTCATTTAATAGTTGTAGTGCAAACACTTACTAATATTCTTGAGATCAACATTATTCGGACCGGTTACAAAGATCGAGAATGCACCTGCCTTATTGAATAAATACGGTACCACAACCAATATATATATGATACCGGTTTCAAGAGCAATTGTCAATCTAAACTGCGATTCTTGGCAGTTGCCACCATCGTGTACCAATAGATTTTCATCCGGATTGGATGGATTGAAATGATCTTTGTAAATAGAGCCGTATGTGTCCATATTGCCTTTGCTCAAAAAAGTGTAAAGACCATTTCTAAGAACATTTACTTCTATCGCTTCATAGTAACTTGAAATGAAACACCAAGGAGAATACGTTGAACTGTTTATTGTCAATTTTGATGCATAAACTGTTTGAACAACTGATGAATTGATCACTAGCGAAAAAGAAAATCGATTCAATTTTGTACAATATGGAAATAAATATAAATAATCTGAAGTTTTATTTTCTCTCTCGGATGAAAACATCGAAGGTAAATGAAAGTGATACGAATATTGATATAAATGAAAACTACTATAACTTCACTTTGAGATGGTAGAAAACACTGTGATATAGGGTGTGGGTGTAGAATAAATTTCATATTTACAACCTCAACCACCGACATCCACATCCATCACATTAGGAATCAACTGTAACAAACCCGAATTCAAGAGGAATTGTTCGGATGATATTCATAATATTCCGTTATTTAATGGATTTAATGTAGCTGTTTGTGTAAAGCCTTCTTCTTATAATGCAAATGTCATCTTACAAAATAAGTTTTATTTGTGAATATACCAAACACAACTAAGTACTCATGCTAACGTTGATATATTTTCATTTATTTGTTGTAATGCATATACTTACTAATATTCATGAGACGAACATCGTCTGGACCGGATACAAAGATCGAGAATGCACCTGTCTCATTGGATGAATATGTTGCCACAACCAATATATATGTAATACTGGTTTCAAGAGCAATTGTCAATCTAAACTGATTTTCATTGCATCTTTTATAACCGAATAAGGGTTGATCTTCATCTGGATTGAATGGATTGAAATGATCTTTGTAAATAGAGCCGTATGTGTCCATATTGCCTTTGCTCAAAAAAGTGTAAAGACCACTTCTAAGAACATTTACTTGTACCGCTTCGTAGTAAGAACTTGAACTTGCACAACTACGGAAATACGTTGAACTGTTTATTGTCAATTTTGATGCATAAACTGTTTGAACAACTGATGAATTGATCACTAGCGAAAAGGAAAATCGATTCAATTTTGTATAATATGGAAATAAGTGTAAACGATATGAAAGGTTACTTTTTCTCAGACACGCTTACCGAAAGCGACTGTAAGTGATATAAATCTTAGTCTCTATCAAATAGAAATATCTGTATATCATTTTGTGGATTGAGTTTATCTATATTTTTTATCGATTATGAATATGTGCAGCTGATTATCTATTAAAATACTATAGATACTCACAAATACGATTGAAATCGATGTAGCTTAAACCAGATACATGAATTGAAACATTTCCTGTTACATTTAAAACAGATGTTGTCATAACGAAAATGTATTTCGTGTTGGCTGTAAGAAAAACTTTAAGTTGAAATTGACCTTGACTACCACAGTCTCCGCTATGGCTGAGGATATTTTCGGACACATTGAATGGATTGAAGTTAGTTGTGTAGATATAAGCGTACATGGTTTTCATCTCGCTGTTGATTAGAAAATTATAATATCCAGTTATAATGACGTTCATTTGTATCGCTTCATAATACGAACTTAACCGTGAACAATCTTGAAAATAAATTGAATTATTCGAGGTCAGGGATGATACATACATTGATTTTGTTTGTAATGAGTTATCTATTAAACGACAAAAAATCAATGAGTATTTGTATCTAAAATAAACAAAATAAATGATTGCACATTTGCTTAGTTTGCTTTTCACTCCGTTTACTAATGAGAGTTGAATTGTTTGCTTCAGAGCAATATACTTCTAATAGAGAAACGAAGAAAAACATGGAACAAAATATCTAATTAGCGTCCTTATAGTAAGTATTGGTGTTAACCCTTAAAACCCGCATGTTCTTTCCAAGAGACGTTGTGATAATTACAATAAAAGAATGCTAGAAAACGGTGACCGTTCATTTCGGTAAACGACAGTTCGTCCCCTACTATTCGTCCGGCACGATTCGGCCTAAATGTTATTTGTCCGATTTCATTTTGTCTCTTTACAATTCGTCCTAATTATCTCTTGTCCCATTACATTTCGTCCTTTTACACCTTGTCCAAATTTATTTTCTTCTCGTATATTTTATCGCGTAATTTTTTGAAGATCAATTTCCACAGGAATTGAAAAAAAATATTGTATGTGAATGAATTGCTATCAGTGCGTCTAATAAATCTTTGTGATTTTCAAAGACGAATAGAAAATAGATAAGTATCCTCTATCTATTCTATATAAAATAGATAAATGTCCTCTACGTATTATATATATAGATCTAACTTATTTCTTTGTTATTTGTTCATTTGTACGAATACGTATTATATATATAGATCTAACTTATTTCTTCGTTATTTGTTCATTTGTACGAATACGTATTACTATCTCGAAAGAATTCAAGTTATAGTCAGATAATGAGTCAAATTCAAGTATTGAAGAGTTCTCGAGGGAACCCAATGGTATGTTATTCGGGCTATTTATACACTCAACATTCTATATCAGGTGAAAAACGTGTATTTCGTTGTGAAGATCGAAATTGTAAAAGTAAGAAAAAAATAACTAAATATGATCTCTGGATTACCTTTTATGTTTTTTTATAGGTCGATGTCATATGAATATTCAGATGGAAGTATTTGTCAAAGAACCATCGGAACATAGCCATGCACCTGATCCAGATCGTGTTCATATTATTCAATTAAAAAATGAAATTAAAACCCGTGGTTCATCATCAGAGGAAGCAACCAGCACCATCTTATTTGATGCATTACGTACTATTCCATTGAATGCAGTTCCCGATTTACCGTCAAATAAATCATTAATGCAAACAATCCGTCGTAAACGACAACCAGTACAACTTGATGAAAATGGTCAATTGCCATTTGTATTCCGATTAACTGATCGTGGAGAGAATTTCGTCTTATTTGAAGATCCTTCGATGCTGATATTCACGTGTGATAAAAATTTATCAATTTTAAAGAAATGTAAACATTGGTTTATGGATGGCACTTTTAGTGTATGTATGCCCTTTCAACTCTTTTTTATATACAACTTGCTCATTTAGATATGCCCAAATAGCCATTATCAATTATTTACTGTTCATGGCATGTTTTCTCTTCAAATTATTCCTCTGGTATACGTTCTACTTATTGGCAAAGCTACTGAAGATTACAATGATTTTTTCGAACAGTTGCTATTGCTACATGACTTTGAACCCGAATCTATTTTAGTAGATTATGAAATTGCAACACTCAAGTCAATTAGAAAAAATTTTCCTGATGCTCAACCAATAGGTAATTTTTCATACGATTTTTTGTCTACAAAAGTATATTTCTTCTATAAAATAGGATGTCTATTTCATATGAGCCAATGCTTGTGGCGGGAGCTACGAACATTAGGTTACCAGAAGAAATACACCACCAATGATAAATTTCGAATGAACGTAAAGAAGCTTTTGGCACTCGCCTTTGTGCCTGTTTCGGATGTGGTTAAAGGCTATGCATTAATTGTTGATGATTTTGACGATGAAGACAATCCCTTACTTGATTATTTTGAACGAGTTTGGGTTGGAAAAAAGAAAGGTCGAGGTTTGTGCTCATTTAAATTTATTTATTTCATGTCTTCAATAATTCATAATCCTTATTTAGGTATTCAACGGTATCAACCAAAATTCAGCTTACAGCTGTGGAATATGTACGAACGGGTTATTCAAGATTTACCAAGGTCTAATAATTCGATAGAGGGGTGGCATCACGCATTCAACAGTCGAGTATCAATTAAACATCCCTCGATCGTCAAACTTACTAAATGTATTCTACGTGAACAATCTCGATTCGAAGTGGACATTGAACGACTGCGTGCTGGTGCACCTCCAGAAAAAAGGAAAAAAGTATATGCAGAGCTAGATGCACGTTTAAAAACAGTCACGTTATCGTACAATATTGCTGATATTGAAGATTATTTAAATCGAATCGCAATGAACTTGAAAATAGGAGTTTAAATAATTTTAAATAAATTTTATTTCATATTATCTTGATAAAAAATAAATACTTATAAATAAATTTTATTTCATATTATCGTTATAAAATATGAATACTTAATTTTTGGAACGAGATGTAAAAGGACGAAATGTAATGGGACAAGTGATAATTAGGACGAATTGTAAAGAGACAAAATGAAATCGGACAAATGGCATTTAGGCCGAACTAAAAAAGGACGAATAGTAGCGGACAAAAAAAAAAGGCCGAAAAGTAGGAGTACCCTAGAAAACCTCGTATACAAAAATAAGTACCATTCTGAACTAAGAAAGTCTGGTAAGTGATAGACTTACAAATTTATGACTTCTTCATTGTTATCTTTATTTACAAACTTTTTCTCTTTTATAAATATGACGCAGAACATTAGTTTTTTTGTCGGTATCACTAAGCATAACAATAAACTATCTAATGAAACTATCTCATAAAGTTGTAGCCAATCTACGAGTATGATACTATAACATCATCAAGAAAATATCTGTTGGAAGTGACATTCAATCTTAACAAATCAAAATCTTTTCATATTCGATCCATTGCTAAAATATTACAAGAGCGACTCTTTAACTATTTTTTATTCTAATAAAGCGTGTCTTGAATAACTAGAAAAAAATAAAACTTTTTCTTTCTTCTCTTTTTTAGTATTTTTCTATGAAGACCCTGGTATATGTTTAAATCTTTCTTCTTTATGATAATCTTGATTCTATCCTCATTCATTGACCAAAATTATGACCTCACATATAACATAATCGTTTTGTCATGTCTAGAGTAAAGGTGACATTCTGAATCTTTATGATTGCGTCACGAGTCGTGGTTAACACTTAAGCATAGAGTGATTTCTCTGTGACAGATATTTTGTATTTACGACTTTGAAAGTATATTGATACACTGTGCAAAAAGACTTTTTGTTGATCTCAAAGCAATTTATGAAACTTTTTTTGTTCTAAAATATTAAATTCGACGCGAGAAATTTTTCTTTACATAGATATTTACTTCAAAGTATTTTTAGTTCGATAAAGATTTGATGAATTTCGATGAAAATTATATTTCGTATGAGTCTCTTACGTTTCATAAAATCATTGTGTTCATTATTTTCTACAGTCAGCAGCAATAACTAAACGCAAATAATGGTGAATCAAACAAAATTCATAAAGAAAGTTCAACAAAAAGAGCTAATTTCATCTTTGACTATCCTACTAATTACAGAAATATTATAATTTCCATCTGTATCATGCAACTAACATGGCAATAACGCTATCGATTAATTTTCGTAGAGAATTATGAATACGCAACGTTTTTATTTTATAATAATAGTATATAAGGATGAAACTTGAAATTTGAATTTAACTATTCAATAACTCAGTTCGAAATCCATCAGGAGTTTCATTTTTATCTTCATCTTCTACGATAATTTTTCTTTTTAATTCTCTGAATAAATATTGATTAAAATGATACTAGAGACATTATTCAATCATTCTAAACTTACCACATGATTCTTCGAAATATTGAAATTTTTGGATTCGATGATTTGATATATCAGTAACAAATATGTTTCTATAGCGATCAAAGCTAAAACTAGATGGATAATTCAATTGATTAGATTGTGAACCAACTCCATAACATCCAACTAAACATCGAAAGCCATGTAAGCCTGAACAAACAATACGACTATTGTTACTATCCATAATGAATAAGTACTTCTCAGCATCTAAGACAATGCCAGTTGGACAAATAAGTGACATTGTTGGATTTAGTGATCCACTACCGGCCACGGTGATGCCATCTGATTCTCCCGGCGAGAACAACTGAACGCGATCATTTAGACAGTCAGCTACGTATAAATCCAAGTTCACATCGACAAAGATTCCACCAGGATTATTAAGTTGATTCGAACCTGATCCTCGCCTATTCGTTCCAGCAACAACACGATTCGAAGTCGTCACAGGATCATTCAACGATCTTTTCACTACTTGATGACGAAGAGACGTTGAACAGTAAAGAGTATCATTGATATCAACAAATAAACTATCACAACGTGAACTAACATTCATCACCGTGACAAAGATATTTGTTTCTGCTATCCATTTCTGTACTCGACCATTCTTAAATCCATCATCAATATAAATATCACCATTTGATGTCACGAAGAGAGACCAGGGTTCTGTAAAATTACCGCGAATGATCTTTGTTGGATTAACACTCTCTTCTTGCCATATCACAATTGTGCTAATTTCTCGATTAGCGACATAAACTGTGTTGTTCGTGTTCACAAAAAAGGCGGTTGGATATTCACCAACAATCAATTGATTAGCAATGGTAATTCCATTGGAATTCCAAGTGGCTGTTGGACAGAACTTTGGCTGATTGAATGAAAGAGCTAAAACAAGAAAAATAGAAAGAATATTAGAGAAGAAATGTAAACGAAATGAAATTGTTAATTTATATGTTCATAGAAGAAAAATAAAGTAGCTTTAAGGAAATTTTTCATGAAACAGATATTTTCAAATGTTTGTTAACATTGATTTTACAAATTATTTTTATTAATTCTTATATGAAATACGAATTGTGATATTGTTAAAATATTTTTATTTAAATTATCGATGTTGATCATTTAAGGCAAAAAAATTTCATATTACTTTTTCTTGAAGAATCTTGTGGAAGATTAGAATAAGTTGTATCAAAGAAAATAATTGAATAAAAGAAATTATTTATTTAAGGAAACATAATCAAGAGAAAAGTAGAAATTTTTATCAATCAAATTTCCTTTTTTGCAACTTTGAACGTTTCATTCGCCTTACCAAAGTGAATTTTAATTATCAAGCTGGTTCTTTTGAAATAATTCTGCAGATATGTCGTTGCAAATCTTTCTTTTGAAATATTTATTCAAACACAAATTTCAATTTTCAAACACTTATTCAAAGTTTCTCACACTTCTTTCTGATAAATATTAAAAGTTAATTTAGGGAAGAAATCAAAAGGAAAGGATAAATGCCCCTATGTTACGTCAGTTGTCTATATTATTGCGAATACGACTCGATTTCTCTTATTAAATTGTATAAGGAAATAACAAATAATGTCACTACACGCCATGTCGATACTGAATGACAAAGAAAGGAAAAATAAGACAAAAGATACGATTTTTTCTGATCCACAAAAAGCCTTCTTGTCTCTCTATAGACATTCTTCATACGCATTCTCGCTTGGCGATTTTTTATCTGTAGAAATTTCAGAGATTCATCGAGGATCACAATATTTCATCTTTGTTCAATATAAATAAAACAAATCTTTCTTTGTAATCTTAATAATATTTTACAGATTTCAATGTTTTTCCTTCGAAATAAAAAACAAAACAAGAAAATCTTTATTTTCATGTCAAAAAAATAAATAGTTCTCTTAAGACGAAACCAATCATTCACTACACATCTTCCAAAAAAAGTAAAATAGATATTTGGTAAAACTAAGAAATTTTTCATTAATCAGAAAAACTTTTTCTCATTGAAGTTTAGAGACGTAAACAGAACTGTTAATTGACTTACGTAAAATTTTCATTTGGGAACAATCTAGAATAGATTTGATTAAAATTAATTTTTCTTATTGACCATCTTAAACAAATGAATTTAATTAAACAAATAAATGTTTTTCTTCAAAATCAGATCAATGGATTTTATTTATTTTATCAAACAAACAATTTTTGTCTTTTATACAATATATTCTTTGTTTGCAATCATAGAAAGAATAATAACATACACATCTCTCATTAACAATTACATATATCACATTATAGGTTATCTTCAACTATTAAATATTATTCTCTGCAATTAAATATTATGATAACTATCGAAAGAACAAACCATGAATCAAACATTTCTTTATGCGATAATTCATTTTTTATAATATTTGATATTGAAAGTTATCTTTCTCAAAGAAAAACAATCAGGGAATTAATTTTTTGCATAAAAAAAATTAGTTGTTAGAATTGTGATATTTTATTTGTCCTATTTTCTTGAATGAGACATATCGAGATATGAAATATGAAGCCAAATGATAGAATAGTTTTTAATAAAACTATATCGGCAAAGATATGATCATATTTTTTTAGATGAAAACTGTTTCATTAATGAAATATTTTTTGGGGTACATGAAGTGAAATATGAAAGCCCTGTCTACCACTCCATTAAGGACAGAACTTTTTCTTTCCCTATTCTTTAATCTGAACAAAAAGGCGAATATTGTTTATCTTAGACGATTGACGCATGGCTCTATCTAATCTGAACATTTCATTTCCTTAGACACATTCTTTTATACATTGATTTAAACAATCTTTCTCAACTATTTTTGTTTTCTGTCGTTTTTTATATTGAATTGTCTTCATTAACTTCTGTTCCTGATCTATTCATATCTATTCATTTCATTCAACTTACCAGAAGAATCTTTCATAAATAAAAATTTTTGAATGCGAGTGTTTAATGAATCAGCAACATATATGTTTCCAGAACGATCGAAACTAACACTAGATGGAAGCTTCAATTGATTGGATTGCGATCCTTTTCCATAACATCCAACTAAACATCGAAAACCATCCAAGTCAGAACCAACAATGCGATGATTGTTACGATCCACAATGAATAAGTACTTCTCAGCATCTAAGACAATGCCAGTTGGACAAATAAGTGACATTGTTGGATTTAGTGATCCACTTCCGGCCACTGTGATACCATTCGATTTCCTCGGTTGGAACAACTGAACTCGATTATTCCAACAATCTGCCACATATAAATCCAAATTCACATCGACAAAGATTCCACGAGGACCTCTGAATTGATTCGAGGCTGATCCTTCAGTATCTGTTCCAGCAGCAACACGATTTGAAGTCATCATAGAATCATTCAATGATCTTTTTACTACTTGATGATGATGATCAGATATGGAACAATAAAGAGTGTCATTGATATCAACAAACAAACCCCAACATGATGAGTTGACATTCATTACCGTCACAAAGGTATTTGTTTCTGCTATCCATTTCTGTACTCGACCATTCTTGAATCCATCATCAATATAAATATCACCATTTGATGTCACGAAGAGAGACCAGGGTTCTGTAAAATTACCGCGAATGATCTTTGTTGGATTAACACTCTCTTCTTGCCATATCACAATTTTGTTATTTTCTCGATTAGCGACATAGACTGTGTTGTTCGTGTTCACAAAAATGCCGCAAGGCCCCACACCAATTATCGATTGATTAACAAAAGTAATTCCATTAGAATCCCAAATAGCTGTTGGAGAAAACTTTGGCTGATTGAATGAAAGAGCTAAAACGAGAAAAATAGAAAGAATATTAGAGAAGAAATGTAAACGAAATGAAATTGTTAATTTATGTTTTTTCTAGGAAAAATTCATTGAGATTAGTTTTGAAAACATTTCTGTGATTGTTGTTCGGCTTTCTCGGATGATTTGTAAACTTAAACTAAAAAAGAGCTGATGTCATTGAAGAAGATCAACTTTTTTTATTAATTTTTTTTGTTGTAAAACAAAAAGTTTATATTTGATCCTTGAAAAGATATAATTATCATTGAAGACAAATACACGAATCAAATAATTAATTTTATATGTTCTACAAAATGAATTCGAAGGAGAAAAAAAAGAAATGTTTAGAATAAAAATGAGTTTATTGAAATTGATTGAGATCTAAACAAAATGTCTTTGAAATTCAAAATCAATTTCAATTTTCATATGAAAAACATTGTGAATGTATTGATGTTAAATCATTTCGATTGAATCTAATATGTGAAAGAGAGAGGGGAAAATTCTCTTATTAATCTTTAATCAAATAGCCATTCGAAGAAATTATTTAAGAAAAATGTTTTGAGATAAAAATAAAGATGAAAATATTCCTTTTCTTCTTATCAGTACTATATTTTTGTTTCTTTTGAAATTCTCATGAAATCAAACAAAAACAAATTGAAATCGATCTGAACGAAACTTATATTGAACAAAATCAGTTTCCTTTAACTTTCATGTCAAATAATAGTTAAATTTAATTAAGTTTTCCTCTGCTTTTTCTTCTTCTTATTATTTCCAGTTGAATAATTCGAAAAAACAATTTCAATAATCATCGATTCCTTTTAACGATAAGAAAAATACAGGGAGGAAAGAGCGGAATCCGGTCGCTTGGATTCCGATGATTCCCAAGGATTTCAATGGATTCCTATGGATCCTTTCGAATTCCCATCCCACAAAATCTGATAAATATCTTTCAATTCTGCCTTATTTCATTGCTATTTTAGATCTGTCAGCCTACATTAAATGTTCTAGAACATGAGATAGACTTTAAATAAACTGCCCAAGTTATCAAAAGAAGAGGTACACATAATTCAGTTCTAGTTCAGAACGGTTCACTATTTTAGGCGACTCAACTCGCCTAACTGAACTTTTCCAACAGTTCACTTCGTTGAAAAAAAAAAAAAAAGAACTTTTTTCAAAGCTCAGTTGACGTCAAGTGTACTGTGTGTACCTTTAGTCTCTAGAGATTTTATCAAATAATTCCATAATCGTTAATTTTTTATAGCAATATCTCGTAAATTCCTAAACATTTCAACGATTTTAATGAATATCGAGGATTTTCATGTTTCATAAACGATTTTTGGATTCCCAAAACGTCCGAAGGATTCCAAAAGATTCTCAAGGATTCCATAGAATTCCCAAGGATTCTTTAGGATTCCAGGATTCCGCTACTTCCACCTTGAAAACCCCTATGTATCAGCAGTGGCCAAATTCTGTGAATTCTGATGTCTTGATGAATCCACGGAGTCCTAACAGTTAGAAAAACTGATTGTTTATATTATAACGAAAGCTAAAAGCCTTACATGAATCCCAGGATGTCAAATACTCCAAAGAATCCAATGAGTCCAAGAGTGTCAATGAATCCAAGGGTGGATGTGCGGGTGTGAGTATTCATTTATTTTACAGGCACACCCACGTTCACGTTTCGGGCTTATCGAATTGCTCTTTCACTTGGCAATAGCAATAATGTGCCTTTGTCTATGAAAGAAGAGAGAGACAGAATTCTGTGTTCTGACCGGTCAAAAACCATTTTGAGGATGTGGGTGTGGGTGTCGATGTAGCGGTGGGTGCGGTTGCTAGGGAAGGTGGTGAAAGAATTCTCTAGAGTGTGGGTACTATGGAAGGTGGTGGCGGAATTATCTCAAGTGTGGGTGCGGAGGAAAGGCGGTAACGGAATTATCTCGAGTGTGGGCGCCGAGGAAAGGGAGTGGCAGAATTATCTCGAGTGTGGATGTGGGTATGGGTGGGTTTGGCTCTGGGTGTAGTATGAACGAATACCCACACCCTAACCCATCAAGCCCTCAAGACGGATTCAGTAGAGTTTTTGGATTGATTGACTTCTTTGGATTCATTAGCATCCTTGGATTCCGTGACATCTCTGGATTCCTCGACATCCTTGAATTCCTTGGATTCCATGAATTGCTTGGATTCATCGACATCCTTGGATTTCGTGGATTCATAGAATGCTTTTATTTCCATTTTAGTGTGAATAATCAATTAGTCTAACTTTCAGGAATCCGTGGATTCATCAATATATCAGAATTCACGGCAGTTGGACAGATCTCGTTATAATGCAATATGATGAAATAGATTTCTTTCCTTTCTGTTGTGTCTTATTCTCATCTAAAGATGTACAAATAAATTCTATATCGAGAGAATATTTCAGTGATATTCAAGTTTTCAATCGTCTTGGAACTATGAATCGATACAAACTCAGATGTCGATAATACTATCAATTAATATTCTAACATATACTTTTAGACTTAAAGTAAACTCATTCTTCAAACCACAAAAAAGTCTCGCATAGCCACGGCATGCATTCAGATTTAGGTTGGCATCTTCTCAATCAATGAGACATTCATTCACCGTCGTACTTTTCTATCTATATAACATTATCTGTTACATCACAGGATGAAATACAAAATGTTTGAAGTCAACAACGCAACACTCTAGTCACACATGCCATCATCTTTGTCAAGGATCTACACTCATCCAATGTCACTGCTATCATCGGTTACAAAAGTCTACTAAATCTCATCGCCATCTATATTCTCGCTCAGTTTTTGCACTCTCTAAATCCTACCTCCATCCATCCACATTCGAAAAACACTCATAACGTTATTCAATACTTATGAAAAGGGTACACTTGCGAAAGTCGTCGAGACTGTGATGATTCTGTACTTTGTTCGATAGTTTAGACTTTGAACATAATTTTAGATTCAAAATCAGAAGTTTCACCATGATTTTTACTATGAAATATTATAGCATGTCTAGAAATAGCTGATCAATCTATTTTTTTAAGTGAACGATTCAACGGTTTTTCCAATGTGATACCTATATAACTCATATTTTATCACTGATAGTAATGGCAATATTTTATAATTTCAACAGAGTCTAACAATAAAATGAATTGCTGTAGTGTGTCAAGTTCTATAATGTATTATTTGATTTCCTTTTGTTCAACTATAACTCGAACGAATAATGTCATTTTTGTGCAATAGCTGATCTTCAATATGCGATAAATAAAAGTATCTACCTGATGTTTCATCGTAGAGAATGAACAGAAGAATAATGCTGAATAATACGTAGATATTCCACACCATTCAACAAGATTTTTTTTGATAAATTAGTTAACTAATAAAATAATATTCTTCTTCTTCTTTGTCTTCGATGAAAACAAAATGACACTTGTAGTAGATTTTCTCTCTAGTTATATATCTCTCGCTTTCTCTCTTTTTCTCTCAATCGCTCCTTCCGAGATAACACACAAAGAGAAAAAATAGTGTTCTAGAGAAGGTTTCGTCGTAAGTAAGATACAAAAATTGATTTTTAGATAGGATTAATGAACAAAGTTGATCATTTAGTTTGGTATTTTTCATTAAATTTCATTGTTTTCTAAAGCATAAAGTGAAATTTAAAATCCAAATGATCGTTTTCTTTTTTTTGATTTTATAGAAACATCTATGATTTTAGTGAAGAAGAACGTGGTGAAGAGAAAGAAGAATTGATCAATATCGATGTCAATCACCGGACATGTTTTTAATAAAAATACGATATTAAAAATCATTGTCAAGAAATCATTGACGTCAATGAATAAATCATGATCAGTTTGATATATTTTTATTTGAATCTGTCAAATAATTTGCTTTGTCAGGACTCATTTTTAATAACGTTCTTTATTTCTCTATACGTAATAAGTATTTTTATGAAAAGTTTTCTTGTTTGAATATTTTGATTTGTTTTAGAATAAAAATTCATCAGATATGTAAAAAGCAGAGATTTTCATCGTGATACGGTGTGTTTTTGTAAGAGAAAACATATAGTTGTATGAATTCAACTCTAAATTGAATATTTGCAAGGGCAACACTCTGATAATGGATGAATCTTATCAATTAGTAGGAAAATTTCCGTTGAAATATAATTATAGTCGTGAAATGTAGACCAATAATGTAATATTCTTTACAATCTAATAGCGACGTGTTTGCAAGCACGATAGATATCTCTAATTCAAATTGATTTCTCAACAAGAGATGAAAAATGCATTCCCTAGTGAAACTACTTATCAAGCGAGTACGACTTACCAACATGAGTACTCAGTAGAGTACTCGTATATTTTTTTGGAAAATAACTCAATAAAACAGTTATCCAATTTCAAATATGAAATATAAAAAAATAAAATAAAATGAAAATAAAGTTTGTACAATGTAATTAGATATGAAAACGTTAATTTACATGCTCCTTTTTGTTCAATATTTTTTGTATCTTTTACCATGATTATATTAAGCCAAACTAGTTATATTAAAATAGAGATGATGTAATCTTTTATATCATTAGAAAAGATTTTTTACTCTCTTTTCTTCGTTCTTTAATATTAAATATTCTATTATATTTTATCTTGTTTCTACTACGTACCAAGAGAGTAC